AGCTGTAAAGCAATTATTATTAATTTAACTTGAAGTGAATCGAATACCATTACTCAACTGAATCTTCTTTTCCATTCCGCCTTTTTTTATTCCGATAATAAACCTACCGTTTCAATACAAAGTAACGTCAACCTTTAAATAAGCGTTTCCGCAGACAAAGTATATTTTATCGTATGCAGTTTCGAACAAACGTTACTGGTTTAGTCGCAAAGCAAATACTACTCGAGGTATTAAACTCGAATATAGGCACGGCTGATACCGCGTAAACGTAAACCGTAAAGCCTTCGGAAATCGTATATCGCGATATTATAATTATTCGCGTTGCGTTAACGTATGCGCAAACACGATAGTCCAAATCTAAAATCCTTTTTATGTCTGTATGTATTATAATTACTAATTAGAATTTAATATCGTTATCTACATACGCGTCAACACCTACCTATGTTATGTTTAGTTTGCGTAAAATAGTTAAAGATTAGGCACGGTACGATACCGATCGAGTTATCCTTTGCGAAAGACTCACCGGTTGCCAGTAAACTCGAGAATGTTCTTTTCGTTGACACGAAATTCGGAATCCCTGTATCCCCAGCCATTCCACTTCAACAACTCGTGCCTAGAAACATTTGAAAAGGGATAAGATTAATTGGCGATTAGCATTAATCGTCGATTAAAGAGACTGAAAAATATTTGAAATCGAAATTCGCGACACGTTCGGCGCGCATTTCTTACACCACGTGACCAATCGAATAACCAATCGGTAGAAAGAGCACAACTCGGTAGATAGCGAGCAAGAATCCGGTAAGCACGAATCGATTTTTGTGGGAAAAGTATGAACCGATATATCGGGAAACGCCGTGAAAAATCCAACGTTTCAACGATTTAGTCGTTTGTCGTGCGACCGAACCGTACCTGTAACCCATCGACTGGTAATCGCGTAAACCAAAGAAAATAATACGATATTATCGATCGATCTCTGTCTTTTTCCTCCTCGAACGATACCAAGGGTGAACGGTGAATTGAATTCGTAGCATCTGTCGATGAGTCAGCTGGTAGTTGTTTCGAGGCGTGGTTAGGAAAAAATTAACAATGTTCACGGTATCGGTGAGATTATTCGCGATTTCGTCCGGTCGTATCGGGTTCCGTTGAGAGTCAACGCGAACCAGAAATTGCCGGTACGAGACTGACCTTTTTTGCGGTATGGCACTCTGGAAACTTGTGGGTTCGATTAAATGCTCCGCATCCTCGATCGTTCCGTTTTTCGTATTAGTCGACATATCCTATTGACTGCACAGAGAAGGGCCTAACCTTTAGATACGAACAACACGACCAGTGTAAGCGTAAGCGTAGTAGGTGCTTGAGCGCGCGCTCTTCACGGCAGTGTGTTGACTATTGACACGCGCACCGGCAAACCAAATTTAAATCAATAGAGTCCCCGCCCTACAGCTGCCCGCCTACCGACGGATCTTCTCCTCGCCAAAGGAACCAATCACTTATACCCGATCCCACGATACATTCTCCTTCTAAACCACCAACCTTTCCACCTACTATAGTAGTCCCAACCCGACTCACCAGCCACGGCACACAACGCTCAGCTCAGTTCATGCTCACCAGTTGGCCACTTCTGGCTCTGGCTTTCGCTTTCCTCAATCTCGATCCTCAGCCTCGCGCACATGTCCCATACCCCATACACCATACCCCATACCCCATACTCCCACATGCTCCGTAACGCTAGAAACCGCTATGCTATTTCCTATATTATATATTACCAGATTCAGGGATTCTTTCCATGAAACAGTCGCAATTAACCGAGCACGATTCGGATTTGCGATCAGTTAGCACGTCGACGTACATCGACGAATAATTTAATCTTGTCGTCTAGAAGAACATGACCAATCGGAACGCCTGTCCGAAAGAAACGAGGTCTCGATTGGCTGCATCCAGAACGATACCGCTCCCTATCGCTCACTACCGCTTATCAAACCGCTTTCCGAATGCTTGCAGCAGCTCACCACCGCTCAGCCTACCAATTTTTCGCTCCCAAACACCACGACCGCTCTCCACACTATTAGCTGTTCACGCCGTACGCGGCCGTACGGTACTAACTGATCGTAACCAAAACAATAACCTATACTTAACCAAAGTTTCGAGGTTATCCGATATGGCACTACGTGTAAAGTTGCAACCGAAATTACTTAATGTAAACAGAGTACCTGGTAAACCGAAAAAAAGAAAGAAGGTTACACTCGTATTCGATGAGAAGAAAAGACGGTAATTAAATTCACGTTAATCGATAGAATCATAAAGGTTGCAAACATCGTGAACTCGCTACACTTTTTGATATAGAGACTTTTTGACAGGATTTCACAAACGAAAAGTACAGCGACAAAAGAAAGCTCAAGAGGAGCTGAAACAACAATTAAAAGAAGAACGAAAAAGAATTAAACAAAATGTAAGTATACTTGTTATTTTCGATGCTGTTAAAGTAACGAAACGTGTTATTTTCATAGGCACGGGAACGTTACAAGAAATTACTGTCGAGTCGTGACATTCCTGAAATTCAACAATTATTGTCCGAACAAGAATTTGAAACAGAGGGACACACTGTTAGTGTTTTAGAATTAAATGTTGCCGATTTTGCCGATAAAAATGTATTAATTGGTGAGAATAAAGGTATCGGTAAAGTAGAAAATAAAGAAGAAGAAGAAGAAGAAGAAAGCGATAAGAATTCCGAAGATGAACAAATTGTGGGCATGACGTTAAAGAAAAGGAAAACAATTGAAATTTCGGAAGAAACTAAAAAAAGTAAACAGATCGATAACGAAAAAGATTTTAAACGAACGATTAAAAAAGCTGCGTTACAACAAGTGAAGAAAAGTAAAGCATTCCAACAAAAACAAAAATTGGAACGTCAAAAGAATAAAAAGGAAAGTATGAGAAAGCTTAAAAGAGTTCAGAAGGCTCGGAAACGTAGCGGAAAGTTTAGAAAAAAGTAATTGACCGAGTCTTTTTGTATTTTGTTTCAAATGTATTGTAAATAAAAGTACAGTTTGTAATAAATAATTTTAGAAAATTACGTCTCCTTTTTCGCCCCATTTTTCACGATAAATGGACATATGGTTTTATTTAAGCATTCAGAACATTTAGGAAAACGTGGTAAGCAAATTTCTTGGCCAAACCCAACTAGTAGATGATTTACCTCTTTCCAAAGATCCTTTGGAAGCCACTTTTCTAACGCGAGTCTTGTTTCTTCCGGGGTCTTTGTTGGCTTCTCTACCCATTTCAGTCTATTAGAGATACGATGCACATGCGTATCGACGCCGATACCAGAAACTTCGCCCCATGCTATTTGCATACAAATGTGAGCCATTTTTGGTCCCACTCCTGGTAATTCGCACAATTCCTTTAACGTTCTAGGAATATCGCTATCATATTTTTCTATTAAAATCACCGACGTTTTCTTGATATATTCTTTTTTCCTCTGGAAAATATTGTTATCCGAACAGATACATGTAATATTTCAATGTCTTAACGCAAAATTTATTAATACTATACAAAGTATACCTTCCAAAATCCAACTGGATATATAAGTGTCCCAAGAGTCTCATCGGGAGTATTAGCTATTATTTCTGGAGTACAACCGTAACTGTTTAATCTTTGCATAGCCGCATGAGTAACTTGATCCTTGGTCTGACTACTAAGCATCAATGCGATCAATGATTGAAACCTAGAGACTTTGGCGGATGCTTTCGGATCGGTGCATTTGTGACAGCCCATTTCGTCGACAGGTGCTGTTCTATGTTTCCTCATTTCCTTAATATTTTCCAAAATAGTTTTCCAGTTTGGTGGCATCCAATCGTGTCCTTCTGCTTTCATTTCTTCTTCCACATTTTCAGTTTTCGCTTTTGAAATCGTTACGTCCTCCACAGTTTTTGATTGCTCGTATTTTATTTTTATCGGTGTACGCTTTTTCCTCTCTGTTTTCTTCGGTAAATCGTTCTCATCGTTAAAATAGCTTGACGTTATATTCTCTGGATCTGTACTGTCGACTTTACTTCCAGATCGTAAACATCTCGATGATTTCAAAGTATCTAACTTTAATTTTTTACTCATTTTAAAACAATAGTATAACATACAGATGCAAATGCGATATATCTCTTTGACAAGTCAACGAACACACTCTGCCACTACGTCTCTACTCGACTAAACTCAACCGCTGCTGCTGACATGATTTATAAACATAACCTTTTACACTTTCATTGCATCAATTTAAAATTCGAACTTGATGCGATCCGCGCATGTGCATTACTTCGTAAAAATTGACAAATCAACACAATGGTTTCCTCAAACAACACATAATACGTTACGCATTACGTGCGATAGAGAATTAAAAAAGCTTCATAAAATGAATAATTTTTAACAAAAAAAAAATAACATTATTAATTTACACGAAATACACTCGTTCAATTTTTACTTGATTACAGAATGAAAAAGGTTTATATATTACTTTTCAGTTATTTATTTTTCTTATATAACGAAAATACTTACATAAACGAATGCATAAATAATAAACTAATGTAGCACGGATTTCACATAAATCATCGAGAAACTAATAACGTTATATGTATATAATATATTCATTCTAGGATAGCATTGAATCCAGATAAAGCTTTCAAAACTTCTAATTCTTTTACAAAATTTATATTTTACCTACTAAAACAAACTTATAAACTATTCAAATGAAACGACCTTACTTGGAAATAATTATATTTTTATGTACGACAAAAATTGGTCTTTTACCATAAATGCAATTTTGATATGAAAAAAAATGATATCTATAGATAAATAAAAAGCTTTCCTTACAATTAAAAATATTTCAATAATCCATTTAGATTTGTATCTGATAATCGGAACATCTTGACTGTAGATTACCTTACACGTATATACACAATATTATCCAGTCTCAATAGTTATATGAAAAATCAGTAAAACAGAGTCCAAAATTCCATTAAAGAGATAAAATATTTATATTATAAAAGGTGTACTTGTATATTATTAGGCATACATGCTAATTGAATAGTATGCAGTTAAGTGTACTAATTATAACTAACATAAGTATAAAAAAGATAAAGTAATACAACAAAAATTGTGCAGTGCATTCCCTTTGCTGCTCCGTATCGCACCCATTCCAACTTGCAATTAGTTTGCAAACATAGGATTACCTTGTATCGTAATTTACGTATGTTATTCTAATATATACACGTCCGTGTTTACTCTGCTAATACCATCATGCGTTACAGCTCATTTTTCTCCATATACGTGTAGATGAGCAAATATTTTGTTACGAATATTGTCGATCGCACTCAACGCTGCTGTTATATTCAATTTGGAGAGAATATAAAATATTACTTGTTTATACATGCATTCGTAATTGGTCTTCTTTCAAGGCCAATATAAAGTACTAATACAACTCACAACCATACCAAGAACATCGACATTGGTATTACTACCGAACATGCTATGTACTTAAACGATAGTGAAAATAATTTTCGGAAAAATAACTCGTATCGTATTCCAAACCATTTCCTTGAAACATTTCAAACATCTGGATCCAATGCTTATCTAACACATCACCAACGATAATGGACGGAGTGGAGGAATGCATAGATAAAAGCAACCACGAAATTTAAGGTACAACAAGTATCGTAATCGAAACCTTATACTAGTACTTGTGCCGACATTCTATAGAAATAAAATGTTTAACATTTTAAAACTGCTCGAATAAAAGGAAAAGTACAAATAAATTTACAAACGTAACATCGATTAAAGTAGCCAAGGAAAGTTCAAAGATAGACGTCGGTTCAGAGGCAAATCAAGTAAATGGCAAAATGGCAAAGACTGCGATTCAGGTTGGTTCGCGTAAAAGTAAAACAATGTTTGTATCGTGTGCTCTTACTACACATCGATGCGGCTAGCCTTTGTACTCAACCTGGAATCTGATTAACGATAGCATTAGGGCCAATGGAGACAGTTGGAGGAATCGTAGAATCTTGCATTAATGTACGCGTCTCTTCTTCCTGATCGGAAAGCGGTATCGCCGGAGTATCATGGGAATTTGACTGCTTCATCTTCAGTTGACTCGGCAACTCCGTGAGTACTGGCCCGTACTGCGAAGTGGAACCCACCAGCAAGTCAGTCGATGGATTCAAACCGCCCAACATCTTTCCTCATAGCAACGCGTATATAAGATAAAGAAACGAACGTACGAACCAGAGTATGGATCGCTTCCGGTAAATAAAACCAAACTCAAAATATATTTCTATTAAAAATATCTCGCCTACCTGACCGCTGCTTCCAACCATTCCGCTTCTCGGAGATTTGCCGCGATGGAAGAAACGAAGCCATGCCCAGATAAAGCCCAGCAGCAGGCCGACAAACATCATACCAGCACCTAATGCCACGGAACTTTTCGCCGTGTCTTCGACGTGTTCTTCTATAGTTGTCGCGGATGTTGTTGGATGGTCATTCACCTTTATCTACAATCGTTTACTAGTTTAGATTCGCATAAATAAACAAAAAATACTTATATAATAATAAAGATATTTATATAATTAATAAAATTTTTAAATTAACACAAGTAAAAACACAAAAGAAACGAATAATAGAAATGTTAGAGTTACCGTAACTACTATTTGTTATCCTACTCGTAAAACAGTTATAAATTGATTATACATTTTGTTCAAAGAAAAAAAACGTTTAAACGTGTAAATTTATTGAGATTACTCGAACATTAAGTCAGCGGCACACTTGTTAATTCAGGTGAATGATAGACTATGATGGTCTATTTATTCCAAGTTTCTATGAAGCGTTTCAATACAATTAAAATATACGATACGGCGTATTCGTATAGCGAAAATACTTGCATGTAACGATTATCGAATAGTTGTAAAGTTACCTCTATTTTATTTTGCTGTGATGTGTCATCCGATACTAAACCGACCAGCATCGTCGTGAAGCCAGCAATGAAAAATGACAATGCGACCGAAATTAATACCCATTCGAACCATTTTCTAGAACTGAGTTTATGCCTGGATATGATTCTCCAGAAACCACTTCTTAACCCGCCGCCACCTCCAGCACCGTCACCTCCGCTATCGTACGTGTAACCCACCGTCGTGGGTTGATAAACAGCACCACTGTCTGGCATATCTTCTCGTGAAATATACGCAATCTTCACGATTTTCTTGTGCCCAACCAAGGGCACTATACTCACTAGCGATACGTTATCTTCACTGATCGCTAATCAGTAATTAGTGACAGTGACTAGTGATTAGTGAGTTATTGCCTTTGCCCGTTACAATATACAACTGGTTACAACGCGCCAAATAATCACACTCTGTCAATGTGTCAGCTGTAACGAACGCTTCTAATTACTTCAGATTTCAAAGGTTCCAAGTCTCTGTATTATATATTGCGAACTCAATTTTTCACTCTTTTGTCGCTATATGTATACATTCGCAATGCAGATACAACGTGCAAGTATAACGTATAACGTACAGAGCTAAGACGTCACGTACCGTCACCCTGCCGTCACCGTCCAGTACCGTCATGGACTGTAACACACGTAGATGCACGATGCACGTACAAACACGTACAACTGCTTACGGACCAATATGGGCAAAACCCTAGGTTTCGAATAAATCTGAAGTTTGCTGATATGTCTATCTCCGTTCCTCTTTTGAAAATTTTTAAAGAAGGAAACGAGATAAACATATCGGCAAACTTCAGATTTATTCGAAGTCTAGGGTTTTTTTGCCCATCTCTGCTACGGACTATATACTGCCCTATCACCAATTATCGTCAATTCAACTATACCGTGACGAGTGCCATAAAGTGCCATAAACGATTCGAGCAGCCCGACTAAATTTTCCGGACTTTATAATAATATGTCATTGATTTGGACCTTTAGCCTTGTATTTATAAATACAAAATTAATTTTAATTTCATGCCGGTAATCAGGTTTTAGTGGCGCCATCGGTGGTGAAATGCCCAAGTTTCAAGTAAAAATAATTTCCATAGTTACCGGTAGATGGCACGGCTTACTAAAGGGTGTGTGGATCGACCACCATTACATTACGATTTACTCGTCTATAGTCATCTATAGTCTATAGTTGTCGACAGTTGTGGACAGTTGTCGATACATGTTCGTTGAAGAATTTCGTTTATTAAATCTCGTATTAGCTAATTAAAAAGCACTAGCCATGGCAGAATTCGTGGAAAAACGATGCGAGGACATGATTCCTGAATTGGAACAAATGGAGAGAATTAAATTATTCGATAAAAATGAAATTCGGTAGGTGAAAAAGGTTATTTTTTTAAATAGGTTAATTACATTGTTTACTTGTTAACTTTTATATTAATCGTTCACTTTTACATATTTCACATAGAGGAATCGCAAAGAAACTGAAGGAGAATGAATACAAAATTCAACGACTTACAAAAACTAAAGAAGACTATTTACGATATATACAATACTTGATGGACCTTCTTAAGTTGATCAAACAACGTAGAGATGTATGCTGTCGCAATTTCTTTTGTTTTATTTTTATTCACTGGTGAATAATTATTATATAAGTATATAACACTTTAACAGTCGTTACTGTAACTTTTTTCAGAAATTTGGTATTAACCAAAAAAAATCGGATATCGATCATATAATTACAAACAAAATGAATCAGTTATATAAAGATGCGATATTTAAATTCCAAGATGACATACGTTTCTGGATTGCGTATATGAAATTTTGCAAACACGTTGTAAGTACTCGAATCGTATTACTTTTTGGAATATGTTTGTCAATTTGTTAATGGCGATGTGTGATGCGACAGCAATTTCAAAATAGCGTTAGTCGCATGTTGGGCAGGATGCTACAAGTACACCAAGATAAACCTAAATGTTGGCACATCGCGGCTCGTTGGGAGTTGGAAGAAAACAAGAATAAGCAAACTGCTCGTCAATTTCTGCTTCGTGGTTTACATATACATCCGACTTCTCAATTATTATTTATAGATACTTTCAAGTAAGCGATATTATAAATGTTTTTGAATTTTTTGATTCGCTTCGCGTTCCTTCTTGGGAATAAATTTTACGTGTAATTTAGATTAGAATTAGAAGACGCAAAGTTGGATGAACAAAAACACGAGAATACCGATTCTGTAACGCCAACGGTAACAGAAGACGATATGAGTATTGGATTGAAAAGGGCTTATATCGTATATCAACAAGCATCGAAACATATAAAAGATATTAAATTCATAATAGAATTGCTCGACGCAACAAAGGAGCATAGCAATACAGAAAAATTACAACATAAAATTGTTAGGTAGGCAGAGTAAAATGAAATGTTAATCGTGTATCTCTTTCTTAAGAATTCAAAAGATAATCTTCATTATAGCGACATGATAGAAGAATACGCTCACGAACCTCTAATGTGGGATACAATGGCACGACGGGAGTTGGAAGGACTTGTTCAACCTACCGTTGACGATGCAACAATGGAAATGGATACTTGGAAACAAACCTCGTTGAGAGACCGTATAACGTCCTGTAATAAAGTTTATCAAACGGCGCTGAAAAAAATTAAGACCGAAGAAATGTGGTCGCTGTACATAGAATGTTTAATAGAAATCAATCAGAAGGCAGGACCTCTGCCAAATTTTAAAAGAAAGTTATTAAAAACTGCATTTATGCAAGCACATCAAGCAAAAAAATTGATGGAGAAATACTATTTGCACTGGGTTGGTAACGTTTCTAACCGCTATCCGTTATATTGGAAATCTTTAAAATTAGTAATTATATGTTGTAGGTTAACATGTTAAATACCGAGAAAAAAGACGAAACTACTGAAAAAAAATTAAAAGAAGTTTTGTGCATGGCAACCGAAACTATACCGAGTAGCGTAAACCTTTGGCATGCTAGATTAAGGTACTTGTTAGTTTCAGGACAAGACGAAGAAGCTGAAACCATTTTTTCAAAGGTACTGTAACACTTGCAATTATTTTTAATATATATAGAAAAGCTTACAACGCTTTGTTTAGGCGATACAAATCCTCGGAGTAAAATCGTTACCTTTATGGAAGATGAGGATATTACATGCCCAAGCAAAAAGTCCTGAAAAAACAGAAGAAATATTCCAAGGAGCAGTACAGGGACATCCTAACATTGCTCAAGAAATAAAACCTACTTACATCGAATGGCTGGTCTTAACAAAGAGTGCGCAGCTATAAATTATAAATCTGCATTTTACGTTATTTTATGATTTTATTTATATTACATCGTATATTTATTTTAGGTATACAAGCAGCGCGCAAAGTTTACGATAGTCTTTGTTTGCAACCACCTTTTTCTATAGAGTTGCACAAAAAAATGTCGGAACTAGAACTTATGCAACCCGAGATATCATTGAAACATGCAAGAAAATGTCATGAAATGTCAACGTTACAATTTGGCAGGGATAACGCGAGTGTCTGGATAGATTACGTGACGTTTGAAACGAAATATGGGGAACCAAAAAAAGTTGGAGAATTACATAGAAGAGCAGTGAAAACTTTAGAACCAGGGTTAACGGATTCCTTTATTTCAGAATATAGTTTAATTAAAGCGAATCCAGATTCCTTAAATGCGGATACATAATTAAAGTATTCTCGAACAGAGCAAAATTTGTAAGACGAAGGTATGGTTAAGTGAAATAATAAACACACACACTTTCTATATATATATTTAAATAGCATTCCTGGTAATCTGATTAAACGTTGCGATTACTCAAGACTCGAGTGGTATTTCTTTCTCCATACGTGTAAGAACGATATTACGATCAGTTTCGTTAGGCAATCGTGTTCTGTCTCCCGTTTTTAACGTTGCTCTCATGTCTAAACACATTACATCTGTAGCTAAAGAATGTTGTTTATCATCTAAATTTCGTTCAATTTGCAAAAGTAAACTTTCCAAATTGTTGTACGCTCCTCTGGAAAGTTATACAAATATATAACTATACTATGATTATTTACTATATATATAATCTGTATACATACATACTTTGAATTTTCGATAACTTTCTGTAAATCTTTTTCAGTCTGTCGCAACTGTAAAACTTGTTCTTTCAAACCAAAGTCGGCTTCGTCGCGACAAAGTTCAAAACCGGGGCGATAAGTGCGATTTTCTAATCTTGTTTCTGCACATTTTATCGCATCGCTTTTATGTAATAACGCATCTTCTAATCGTACTATTTCTTTCTGCATGATTTCCATTTCTTTCTGAATCTGTAAATTGAAATTAAACGTACTCGCACTCGCACGTTACGTCGTATGTACGACCATTTACTTGTTTTAGGATAAAAAGTATAATTATTCGATTACTTTAAGCTTTTGCCATTGTAATTCATTGCGAGCTTTTTGCGTCTGATAGATTCTTTTTCGTAAACTAAAATCGGTTACATCTTGTTGAGCCTTAATATCGTTTCTGGCGCGTTCTCGCATTACGTTCATAGATTCGCGAAAACTGTACGTATCGCTTAATTCGTTATCGGCTAAACTTTTGGAATTCCGGCAATGCTCTAGCCAAGCTTCGTAGGATATCGCGCTAAAATAATAAAATTTATACCTTACATTTGAATCGTAAGCTTTACGCGCAAGTTTATTCTTACTCTTTTGGAGTCCTTAACGCATTTGGTTTGTAACTAATATTTGCGCACGTGCGATCCAAATTAAGATTATCTTGATCTATCCTAATGGTTTCATCCTTATCTTCTATATCGAGATCCACTTCAAACCTAACTGCTTCCAAACGATTTAGTTTTTCCCATGCAGCTTGAATCCTGTATCGATTAGCGTACCGTAAACAAATATTCCCAATCTTCCTTTACATTAACGTCATACCTATCGGTCAATGATCGTTTAACGTTTTCGATAACGCACAGTTCCCTTTTCAGTTCCGTATCGGCTTCGTCGTACGTAAGTTCCGTACCTCTGCGACAGTCTCGCATGGATATACATTCCGCCGTTACTTGTAAAGGATCATTTAGAGTTTCCAATTCTTTTTCCGCGTCAGTTTTCTCGTCTCGCAAAACTTGTATCTCCGATACTAATTTTTCAAACAAATTCCGAAGTAATTGTCTCCAACGCGACAGTTCCGTTATCCTACGAATGCGTAGTAGACGTAGATTCTTTTTCAAATACATTTCTTGGGTATCGTTACCTGTCCGCAAGACGAGCGTTGTTCATGTACGTGTCCCACGTGGTTTTTACCATTGTTTCCGATTGAGTAATTTTTCCTGAATTTCTTATTTCGAATGCTTCCGCACTTCTGGCGTCTGCGCCTTGCTGAAGTTCCCATTGTCTGGCGTACCAATCTGCTAATCCTGTATAAAACATTATTTTACGCATGGTATATAATTTGATTAAAAAAGAAAAAAGAAAATGATTAAACGAAAGGAATAAATATGAACGTTCGCGATACAGAAGTCGGTTAAAAAAGATCCAAGGTTCTACTCACCTATGTGTGGTAAAGGTTTCTCGTAAGTGGTTACAGATCTGTTGGCCATAATTTCAGAAATTTTAATTGAAACGACTAGACTAGAAATAAGTAACGCGAAAAAAGTACACTCGCAAAAATAACACGCTCTACATAGACGGAATGCTATGGAAGTATCGTATCAACGGTTGCCGAAGCAACCACGGCATCGTACGAATACCCCCGCGCCTTAATATCGATTAAATATTACTTAATCATTAAATCATATATATTTATATACGCGTACATATACGAATGATTTTTCGATCACGGAATAATCTAGATCGCAATTAAAATAGTCATGTCATCCAGCCAATTCTTATAACATTCGTATTATCGTAAAAGTCGGGGGGGGGGGGGGGTATGTCGTTAGAAGTTGAAATGCATTTTATCTTCAGCTAGGTATCGGTAATTTGGTGTGATAATAAAAAAACAGAAACACGCTGATGTAGATTTTCAATAGGACGCGAATATACAATTACTTGTCGGTTTCTTATCATTCAGTTACCATAATACATAGTATAATGAATACAATCTAATGAAACCTGTTAGGGACGGGTGAATGTTGCGTAGGCCTGTTTCTCTGTTCGCCAGACGTCAACGCGAATTACGTTTAAGCCACTATAGTGGCGCGTCGTGGTTAACAGGTTTATCGTAAAAAGTCAAAGAATAATGAAATGTAAATAAAGTATAACCGGAACCGTTGATCGTTTATCCATCGCGTGCCGTGCTGGATTGTAAGCAATTGTAAGCAATTGTAAGTTGTAAGTTTGGGAGGTTCTTTGCTTGATACTTCTGCGCTTGATACGTCTGCGCAATTTAAGTTTAGCCAGCAACCAATCATCGCGGATCGCGCCAAGCTGTACTTGCGATGTTCCGATTGTTTGTAGCGTTCGTATGGTAGGATAAGGACGCGGGAGCGGGAGCGAAAGCGGGACAGAGACAGAGAGTGGTGAGCTGGTGAGAGCCGAGACTCATCGAGAGTCCTGTTGTTAAGTTTCCATAGATAAGCAATAGAGAGAGGAAGAGAGAGTAGGTGCGTGTAAGCACGCTATTTACAGTTTTTCATCGGGATCCATAAGAAAAGATCAAATTTTGGCTACGGTTGGAATAGTATGCGAAGATTGAGTATGAAGAGCAAGCGTAGAAAGTCCGAAATGAGTGAAAGCGGTTCCGAGGAAAATGGCGTTCCGCGTACAACAGCCGATGAAAACGACGAAATGAAGAAAGGAAAGGAAGGCGAGATCGCGGATACGCCGCGCAAAGGCACCGTAAAAAAGCGGCAATCTCGTGGACGGGCTAGCCTCAAAGGACAAAACGAGGAAACCACTGGGAAATCCGAAGGGGACGGTCAAGAAATCGACTCGGACGAAGAAGAGAATAAAAGCCCCGGTAAGGGTGGAGCGAACAAACGGCATAAAAAGGAAGATCAAAAAGCGTCTACCTCGATAAAACAACATGGAAACGAGGAAAAGGAATACGAGGTATGTCAGACGTGATGCACAGTGTACAGGTGTACGCATTAAGTACGCAGTGGCAATGCGCATTCCACAGAAAACAACCGTGTTGTTTACGCGGGGTATCGCGAACGCCGCGTCGTTCCTAGACGCTAAGCTAAACAAGAACGAGTGTTTGCCGGCTACAATTCTGACGTCCAAATGCTAAATAACTTCTTTTCTTATCTTCAACTTTCACTTATTTTTATCGAATCGAAATATTATATTCTCTTTGGATCATCTTTAAAACAGAATTTTATTCGTCAAATCGTAGTCTGTCCTCTGTCACATTTCCGTATTTTGTAGTTAACTATTTTTGCGCTAGATCATAAGCTGACTGTAAATATTCTACTTTCAATATGTATTTTATATCTCGCCTAATTTTGCGTGGAAAAGGATGGAATAATTGTTAGCATATAGAATATTATGAACGGTACTATCAAATTTTTATCAACCAGGTGGAAAAAATTGTTGGTCAACGCACAATCAAAGGCAGGCGACAATTCTTAGTTCGTTGGAAAGGCTACAACGAAGATTCCGACACATGGGAACAAGAAAAAGATTTAAATTGTGCGCAACTAATCGAAGAGTTTTTAATCGATGACGTAGAAAGCGAAGAAGACAAATCTAAGAAGAACGAAACATCTCCGAAATCGTTAAAGAATAAAACTCTGAAAGTAGACAAAAAGCTTAAAAAATCTAGAGGTAGTACAAAGAAACAAACAGAAAATGGTATTTTGATATCGTATTATCTAAAATATTGAATATTTATTTACACAAAACTACATTTTACTTCAATCAATTTTAGATAAGGATGTAACGATGTCGGATGAAGACAAACATGAAAAGGACGATGGAAAAGAATTCGAAGTAGAAAAAATAATAGAAGTACATTTCAAGAAAAATAAAACAAGAGAATTCCTGATCCGATGGAAAGGTTTTTCATCTGCGGACGATACCTGGGAACCAGAAGAAAATTTGAATTGTCCAGAACTTATTGAGAAATTTATGCAAAAAGTTGAAAAAGCTAAAACCTCGGATGTACGTGAACTTAGGACGAATCGACCTCACACGAAACGATACACGCTAACTACACACGAATCGGGAAGAAGATTGTCGCGTCGTAATATGGATAAACAAAGGTAATTCTATTTGTTTGTTTGTAAATTTTTATGATTTCCTACTTTATTGGGGTAAATTTATGTAGATTTTTTTTTATTTATTTATAGAGCTACGTATCACGAATGCGACGAATAAGTGGTTACGAGTCGTCGAATCTCTAAATCTCGTATACATGTATATTCACATACATATATGTATATAGATACAGACATTATTTTTAGTGTTACGAAAAAATAACGCCACGTCAAAAGTTTCGGTACGAGTGACATTCTTTGTGCTGCGATCATGAAGCAAAAGAAGGAATTACGGAATGGTCTATGTGTGTCTTATATTCGTATTATATTCCTTCGTTCATGATACTTTTATAAAATATCGATTTAAAGTGAAAGATTTTATTTAACTTTATCCAGTTTGTAAAGACTTTGAAGAATACATTATCAAATTCTTGACTTTGCAATTTAATTTTGTACTGCTAACCTGCGTGTGTGCATGTTTTTATATTTTTTCAGTATGTTAAACATTTTTTTAACTATTCAAGCGTCATCGTAAAATTTATACTAAATCATGAAGAATCACAAAACCTGATATGAAGTAGCACATTTTAAATGAATACATTTATTATCCATTAGAAATAAGGCATATTTTAACACGTTCACTGTGGTATGGTGCTGCGTATACATCTAGTATCGTATTTTGTTCCATACGTTCCAAGTCGCGTTGCATTCAACAAAATTATACTACCCGTACTACTAAAAATTAAAAACCATGGAAAAAGTTATCGCGGTGGACAGATTACAGCTGATATTTTATTTATACAAAGTATATTACAAATTATTAAGTAATTCGTAATTTATAGAAAAATTCATTAAAGATTCGTCCCTGTTAATTATACGACTGGACTCATACAAATCATACGTATATAGCTTTAGAGTAATTACAGACAAATTGTATACCGACTGCGAGTTAAATGTTCTCATGAATCGTAATTGATCGTGTATCGGTATCTTATTTTACGATAAAAAAATAACTGAAAAAAAAACGGTAGGTAAGTTTAACACGTTCACGCTAACTTTCTATTTTTTATATTTACCATCGGATACCACGACACAAGTGATTGGGTAAATGTACCAATGGTTGATATTGTTATGTACAATTTGTAAGCGCTTTTGTACCGTTGACTTTATTTATTGGAAATGTATGCGAACGTTTACACTATTGGATTAAGTTTGTATGACGTGTCAGCTAATTTTGATAAACGTATTTCGCGAGATAATGATAGAGCAGTTGAAAAAATGAATGAAAAAATTCAAGTTTAATTGAAGATCACTCAAATGAGTACACATAAATATCTCTGTTGTTTATGAATTTATGAAAATGCTGTTCAGGAGAAAGTTAAAAAATTCTTTGTGTCACTTGAAACAAGTTTTCGATGTATTTATAAACAGCCAAGATGTTTAGGTATTCTCAATTAAATAATCCACCCTATGTAATTTTTTCAATTGTTTTAGTCTATAATCTAGATATTTTTATTAATAAATAATAAATAGGTCTTTTAAGAATATCAAAACTTCAAAAGGATATTTATATGTAATATACATATATATATATATATATATATATACAAAATTTTAATTGCAATACTTTTTTTATACTTCAAATTGTCTTGAAGTAAACATGTCTGTCGAGCAGCTATTAAAAGTGCATTTATCGTTTTGTGTTTGAGTCATGAGCAACTTAGAAACTCATGTGTCAAGAAAAAACTGTAATAAAGATTTGAATTTTAGACCAAGTTTCTGTATTCTTAAACAACATTATTACTTATAGCAGTATTTCTATAGCTTATATACGAAAGGTATGCGTAAGTATCAATTTACATACGATTTATAATTACTATTGCACAGGATAATCCATACTGTACCATAAATATACATATAATATGGAGCTCAAGCGGACAATAGAAGTGTATAGTGGCAAAGAAAAATATAAAACCGACCATGATTCTAATTATTTTTGGAAGATTTTAATTTTGGTAGTACTCGTCGCTTTAATATTGATAATTCTATTTACATTATGTTACTGCTATATATTTGGAAAAATCATTTCTTCTTGCAAAAGGTTTGATACTGTTTTATTTACGCGTATACGATATAAATTTCTTTGATCATACTTATATTCGTATTCAGTTCTTGGTTCTTGGTACAATGCTAAACTTACGTTAACAAAGGTGTCTTACACGGCGAAATAAGAAAAGTAATATCGATGATAATTTTTTTATAATGGAAGAAACTGGCAGCGATACTAGTGTGAAACGACGGTTCTTATGGCCTAATGCGTCTAACATTTCAACATTTTGCGGAAATAAGTATTGCAAATTAAAGACCATTTTACCGGTATTATCGTCAACTTTAAAATATAATTAATTGCGATTATTCGGTGTTTATTAAGCTATTTATTTGCGTACGTTTACGATTAGGAAAAGAAACAGTTGCTCGCGTCTTGTGAAAATAAAACTGTAACTTCCTGTTACGATACTTCCAATAATAATGTAGATTTGACAAAGCGATTGTCATTGAAAATGTCTTTCTCATCTTTTTCATCGCATGTTACTAAGAGCAAAGGTATGCATAGTCAAACATTAAATAAATGGGATATCAAAGACTTGGAAAATTATGAATGCAACGAACATAAAACTCGGAATATAAAACATTTTACTCGAAACTCGCGCAAGGTATGAAACAATTTTGAATGAAATTAAATTTATTTATACATCATCGTTTTACTGATTTATAAAACATGTTTTCTAAATTACTTAATGTTTTAGATTGACAAAGATATTTGCTTTTCTGACACAGACCTGCAGTTTCTAATAATACCGATATCTTCGAAAAAGTCTAATGTAATAAAACATGACAGTAAAGTAGAATTATGTAAATGGAATTCAGAAGATATTAATGATTTTTACGATGAACGAAATAATACCAGTTCCAAATTGCTAGAGTTCAAGTTTCATAATACAGATTCGTACAGCGATAACACACAAACACATGAAATTTCTAATTCTAAATCAAATTGTTCACCTCGTTCTTTCGTATCCAAAAACTTGGCATCCGATTCAAAATACTTGACAGATTCTGTTGCAAATAGGTTTGATAATTTACCCAATATATACCTTACGAAACTACAAAGGTTGTCCAGAATTCGTAATTAACATAAACGTTAATTTAAATTGATGTAACACAGCCTTAAACATTTTTGTAGGTTAACTAATTCCTCTGCTAGTTCTACGGTACCAGACATATCTAGCATAAATGAAATCAAAACTGAGCATCCACGAGCTGATACATCGAATATAAAAAGTGATCGACTAGTATCACACATAAAATTCGAAAAAAATAATTCCAAGTATTTCCCAACGAATAGAGATAATATAACTGCAATAGTCGAACTGAATGTAATAAAATCAAAGATAAGATTAGATGGGTATGTTGGACAGTTTGAAAAAATGAAGAGAACAAAGTCATCCATGGATATACGATTGAATCACTTTAAAGAGAACTGGCCAAGCATAGAAGATCAATTGGAAAATTCCCGAAGGAAATCTAAATCGGACGAAAATTTTGTTCATAAGAATGCGTTATATGGAACGAGAAACGACAATACTAAATATTATTTTGTTTCTCAAGATATTTCTTCGGAACCCGAAAAGATAGTTTATAATAATCAAGGTGTTTATGAATCAGCGACATTCAATTCAGAGGCAAGTGAAATTTGCGATGAATTAGGAATACTGTTTTCCCAATATATCAAACTTGAAGCTCAACCGTGTGTAAGGAAGTATTGTCCTATATCGCGACGTTTAAAACAACGGGTTCGACACAGTATAAAAAAATGTCAAACGAAATCCAATTACCATCAAATATATCCTTACGATCAAAGACCGGCGTGTAATAGCGGAAACGTATGCGCAGACACATACGACGAATTAAAATTAATGCATACCTCGCCATCGGAGAGAACAAATATTTACCGATGCATGTTCAATAGAAGAAAACGGTTCTTAAATCAGCCGTGTACCTTGTCCAATCAAAATTTGCCAGGATCTATATAATAGCGTAACAGAATCCAATACCTGTCTCAGATTATTTTCTTTCAAAACATATATTTTAATCGTTTCACTTATAATTTTATATTGTAATAATTAAGTAAATAAAACGTGTATATGATTATAAAATTACTTTATTCAATTAATTACATACGTTCGCTCCTCTTTACTTCTTTTACTTGAAGACCTGAAAAATATATTAATATTTCGTTAAACAAGGAATTGAAACATGAAACAAGATTAAATATTATTTATAATAGACAGTAACGCAACAAAAACTTTTTCATTAGAAATATATAAATACCTGGAGGTAGGGATTGTTTTAATTTCTCTGCCTTTTCCTTGTCTGTGATCACAAGCGTATATAAAAATCTTGAACACCGAACTTTGAACTTGACATTGTCAGCATTTTTCTTGATTTTTACAGCTAAATGATCCCAATGAAAAAATATAATAATTAACGAACAGATAATGCATATTATTAAAAAAGGTCTTATAATGTAAATACTAACATTTGGCATCCTTCCTCCTGGCTTTCAATAGAAAGTCCTTAATTTCTTTGATTTCTCGTGGCTAAAAATGAAACGATATAAACATGAAACACTACAGAACTTGTAATTATTGCAAGTTACGTTTGCCACTGGGTTAAGGTTATGTCACTCCACTTTATATATTGTATTGCCAACATACTTAAAGTAAGTATTTTCACAATGTAATATTACAAATAACAAAAGATATCACAGCAAATTTAACGTTATGTAGACTATTATACGTTAATAATACTTGTTTAATACTCACCATTATGTGTCGAGGTGGGAAACAACTAGAAACAATCAGAATTACCTGGAACATGCGAGAAAAATGGCTGATGTATAAATGCGATTCTAGAAATTTCTATATATTTGATGCAATGTATTTTTTGTTCAAAATATACAAGTAATATAAAATCGAAAAAATGTAGGATTTCTCGTTTGAATACGGATTTCGAAAAATCACCTTGAAAAGTAGTACATACCCCTTTAAGATATTACCGGAAAAGAATGAATTCATGGGCCAATGTAAAGGTACTACATCAAATCAGCAACGAAATTTTAGTAAATAAAGAATTGTATGCAATTTAAAAATAAAAATTCGATGGATACTAGTTAACTAAAATAATTGATTAATTTTGTACTAAAAATATAGTTTCTAAGAAGTGGTTTAATAAAATAATAATCCGCTCTCGGATTTTTATGAGTTACGCGCACTTTTATATGAATTTATTATAGGCGTGAAAGATGGTTTGATTTTATTATGAAACAAGTACTGTATTACACAAAAACTTGATCAAATTTCATTCGTTATATTACAGGTAGCTAGAAGTGTTTTTAGTTAATCGTGGAAAAGGTTTTTTTTAAATTTGGCGCTTCGTAAATGGAGAATCGGTGCGCATACGTGTGAGTGTGGGTGCGTATGCATGTAGATATATATATGTTTATACCGACATTCATCTATTCGTGTTACGGTTACGAGCCGTGGTTACTGGTGGTTACGAGCGCAGTTGCGAGCAGTTGCGAGTTGCGAGTGAGGTACAGTAGATACAGTCTGTGGTCAAGTACAGTGCTACAGTACACTGCATACAGTCTATACATAGTTATAGAGTGCGGTACAGTGTATTCGCGACATAAATTTATTCGCGATCGACAAGTTTGCATTTTGTTTCTAGTGTGAATATACTATAACTTTTCACTTTGTGGTCGGTCACAGATTAAGGTGGTTCGTTGAAGAACAACTTTGAGAATTCCTTGAAAATGGATTGCCCGTTACCGCATATTATAGAAAGTGCGGATTGCGAAGGTTCGGGAAAACCAAAAGAAAGGCTAGTGAATCTTCTGGATCAGATTGAAATTCACGTAGAACAACTGAGGAAGGATGCTTCGAGACTCGAGGAAGAAAGAGATACTCTCTTGACCACTTTAGACACTCTTAGAAACAATGAAATGCTGGGCAGATTGGAAGAAAGTAAGTGTTTACCTCTGTTATTCTAAGAATACAAGGTCAATTTTAATATGTCTAAAAACATCGTTAAAAGGAGTCTCGATATTTGTAGACTGTATTATTTTCCGTTATCATGCCTTTAGATTTCGATATCAATCGCGATACCAAATGATTAGGGTTATCGTGTTTGTGTATCGATAGTTGCACATTTTGAATACGATAATATGTTTAGCGTTTCATTAGACATAACCTACGTAGAATGAATATATTTTACGTTTGAATTTCCTTTTTAAAACAGCTGACAAGGATGACGTGTTGAGGTATGCCGAAAGGCTGTCTATGCGATGCTTGACGGTCGATGTCTTGGTGAAAATTCAACGTGACCACGTTCAAGAAGAAGCATTACATCAGGTATGCGTCGATTACTGCTTTATAACATAAAACATATTACTGTAAAACTATAAACCAGCCATTTTGTATTCGGCTAAATGTTAGCGATAATATAAAGACTAAATAGAGAATGCTGTTGCGACTTTCAGGTAAACGGGTTGATCGACAGTTTAATTGTTGGTCTTCGCGACGATCCAGCTGCGACTCGGCAACGCTGCGCATCTTTCATGAATGCTTGTTCTTCCCAAGGTTATGGACTTTCCGATAAAAACTTTGAAAGCGCAATTCTTGGATGTACTCTAGACGACCAGAAACGGGTAAAGAAAAGATTACAGGGGTTATTGGATTATATCGATAAAAAGCATACAATTCAACTGTTATGAAGATAAACTTGAAACAACCTACATTGAAAAGAAGCAACCAAGTTACTCGGTAAACTAGCAGTTAATCTGTTTTAGTTGATTCGAAGGAGATACGAGAAAAATAAAAAGTTGATTAAAGCAGGGTGCTTGACGATAATTCAACAGCGATATTTTACGGTAAATGTAGAGAAAGCATTACTCGCGTTACAGGAATATGTTATTTTTTGTGCATATACTACGAGTTTCTAGTAGAAACTATGCTTTACCGATGCGCAAATAAATTCCTATACATTTTATAATTATATTTACGCATTAAATATTGTACGAAACGATCGTACAATTGTTGTAACGAATTATAAATGTATTTGCATTTTTTCAAAAATGTTCAAGTTTGAAGTGAAACAAAATTTGGATATAATTAACTATACTCGAAACAATATTACTTTAAAAGCTATATCGAAGTAAAGCAAAAGAATTATATACGACATGTATTCTCTTTTTTTAGTCAGGGAAACTATGACGTGTACATTATTTTAGAGTTACGTTAAATTTTATCTTTATGTGGATATCGTATATATGCGACTGCTGGTTAGTCTAGTATGCGTACAATGTAATAACAACTATCATTATTTCAACTACTTAAAATTAATAATGCTTCCTACAATAAAAAAATAAAAAAAAAAAAAACACAAAAAATATTAAACATGTCGAAGGAAACTAAATACAGATTCTAATTATGCTAAGAACGTGGCTTTGGACTGTATCGTGTACTAGTGAATTATGTAAGATGTCTATCTATCGTAGTACCGTAGATGAAATTATGATCACAGATTAAACGATTTACTACAAATATGTATTACTTATTACGTCATGGATAAGGATTCGATGTATGTACAGTCTGGCATAGTTTTAAACAACTGTTTATTTTGTTTAAGGAACTACGTATTCTTTTTTTTTACTTTATGTAATTACTTTATCATTAAAAACATTGTTTGCGGTACAATAGCGTGTCGTCAAGCTATTTTAGTCGCATTAACTTAATTACAATGTTCTCTATGGCTCGTATATCCGTTCAATTTTAATGTAAGGTTCAAATTTAGAATTAGCGTGCAATATACTTTATTTTCTATGATACAACCCGAAGGAATAAAACATCATGTGTGATTCGAACGGAATGGAATTTATCGAAATTTGAAAAGTGTATTTTTTGTATGCTTCTTGGATGCTTTTTAAGATGTCGATTAAAACAAGCCATTTGAAACTCGAAACGTTTAATTATTATTTTTATTTTTTTTCTTACAAACTAGAATATTTGGTTAGCCGTTATATCGATATCTGTTTACACATAAATTAACGTCTATAACATTTTCTAAAAATTTGAAACGATTTAAAATAACTTTAGTTTTAAATATCCTATTTAATGGAATATTTATAATTTTATTAAAAAATTACCACATATTACCTAAATCGATCACTCGTTACAAATATATTGACTCGATGTATCGAGAAGAAGAAAGAAACACACTGTACTCGCCTTCAAAGTTCATCTTTTTCACATACCGAAATAATATCATATATTTATAATAATATATTTACAAAACACAAAGCACGTTTCAAGCTTCCCGAATGTTATGGAAGTTATGGAAAAAGTATTCGTGTGTAAAGTAAAAATGTAAAACGATTTCAGGAATTCTGTGCTCCAAATTGAAACGATTAACATTTTAAGCAGAGAAAGTTAGATACGTTTAACGTTTGATTTTCACTAAAGCGAAACATGTATCGGACCCGTAGTTGGTCGATATTATAATTCGTTGATACGAATATATATCGGAAATTGATCGATATATCGATTCTGCTTAGAGATAAATTATGCGGTGCGTCCAGTTTTCCATCGCGATTTCGATGCACCACGTTGTGCCTACTTAATCAGAGTTTCGAATCGTTAGACCAATCCAGCGTACACAGTTGCCGAAACAACCGTTATTAGGATAATTATATCTTCATAAATATGAATATCAGTCTGTACACGGCTAGAGTATATTTGTTACAACTCTCCACATATTCGTCCACGTAAAGACTAAAGTAGCCTACAAGCATTTTTCACGAAATTTCGTTTCTTGTGATTTTTTGTCTTTGCCCCTGGCCGCAAAACAATGGTACCATTCCCAGTACTCCGGCCACAAGCGGATCCGTTCGGGCTAAAAGCACCTGTAACAGATATAAATATGTATACATATATATTTTCATAAATTCACGATCGAAACGAGTGATGGCCGGCCGTTTCTCAGTTTATAGTACAATTTCTTACACTCCATTATCGTTGTGGTAGCCGATGTGTTAGCATAGTAGATACGGTATAAATAATTTTAGACGCGTTTA